GCATTGAAATAATGTTTGAATAAAACCAAGTCATTCAATCAATCTGGATACAGAAATGATTAAGCTGAATCCTTAAGACCTACCCATCTGGAGCACCCACTGTGGCTCATCCAAGCCCTTGGCATCTGTTGTCCCAGGTTCTCACAGTATCCTTAGGAGGTACCCAAGACTCCAGCTTGCCTTTACCACTCATGTCTATCCTATGCCATGCCTACCTCCCACTTCCCAATTCCACTTTCCAAAGCTTTTATTAACAAGACTATTCTGAGCCAACTTATAAATAGTACAGTATTGTTCCCAAACACAGTGTAGTGAGGTATGTGTGCAATGATTCTTAAACATCCAACACTAATTTCTGCTCACTGTCTTACACCACCCTGTTCTCTCCAGCGACTCACATCCATCAAGTAAAAGTGTCATGGTCAAAGTCAACCAATAGAAAAGGAAGACATCCTACTGGATACCAGTGTTCATGCCAAGCCAAATTTCCCACCATATCTGCTATCTTGGTCTCTAGTTCTACTTAAATAGCTATGGCCTACTTTATCTCACTCTGGCACAGCTTCTTGCTCCATGGGAAATCCCTATGTGTTTCTACCATTTTTATCCTTGAAGGCCCACCAACTTTTCCAAAGTGCTGATAGCCACAGGAGCCAAGGGGACACTGAGCATTGTTTCCCTCCTTTGGATTCATGTACTTTAAAAAAAGTAAAATATACTAATTATACAAAGATGTATACTGATGGCATTCCTGTGCATTTATATAACATACTTTCATCACACATGCCCCGTATCCTTTCTGTTCTCATTTCCCCTCCCCCCTCCACACCCCTATAGTCTCCCTTCTACTTTCTTGTCCTGTTTCTCCCTCTAGACCCTACTTATCACATACACTTTAAATGACCATATCTTCTTAAATGATCTCACACAAAAGACAAAGAGCCAATGCAAGTGTTCAGGGGCTGCTGGCATGGCTTTCAGATAACTTTGTGTAAGGAAAGCTTCCAGTTGTTAATATATTTCACACTCTTAGCTACTCCTTCAACAAGACTTTGACTTTCCTTAAAGGATGGGCTTTGGAAAGTCATTTCTTTCTTGGCTTATCGAGCTCCCGTCTCCCTGCAGGGAAAATAGTCTGTGCTCATTTGCAGTTCCCAAAAGACTCCTGTCCTAAAATAGATTCCTGAAATTTCTATCATCAAAACATTTATTTTGCATATCAACCATTTTACATTCTGTCTGTGTGGTAACTTTACAGTGTCGCATCTATTAAATCATCCCATCACCTGGATGTTTCTGACACAGCACAACTTAATGTCCCAATGAGAGCCAGTGATTTGTGACACAGATTATGCACCACTGGAAGGTATCATACCAACTTTTAAATGTTTGGAAAGAAAATAGCAGCCAATGTAGCTGTGGCACCAGATGGTCAAACCTTTATGATATCAGGCCATCACTTAATATCTAGTATTGAGTAGCTTCAAAGTAAATGTATATTGGGGGTGTAGTTTTAATTGGTAGAGTGTTGGCCTAACATGCACAAGGCCCTATGTTGGATCTCTAACATCCCATAAACCAGGCATGGTGGCATGTACCTGCAACTCCAGCAGTAGGAAGAGAGAGAAGTAGAAGGATTAGTAATCCAAGGCCATCCATAGTTACATAGTGAGTTTGAGGCTAGACTGGGCCACATGAGACCTTGTCTCAAAAATCAGACACAATTTGGGTTATAAATGTCTGTGTTTATAAGGGGTCCAATGGTTTCCAAATGCTAGAATTTAGATTGGAAGGGAGTGTTGGAAGAGAAAATAGTCTCCGTCTGCTTCTTGGCCAAACCTCAGCCACCCATTTCATATGTCTCCCTGTTTCAGTGAAGGTTCCTAGTTACAAGCAACTGAAATGAATTCTGGTTGACAAAGGGAGAAAAGGAAGGCACTTGTATTGCATGTGGTAGCCTGAAGAATAGTTGAGAAATCTGTAGAAGAGGCTTGGGCCATGGGCAAGACCTAAGATGAGCTACCAGCCTATAAAAATTTCTCGAAAATGCTGTCTTCAAACTTCTTGGCAGGTGCACGTGTTTGGCTAAGCCCAGATTGCAAGCCATGCATAGCTTCCGGGAGATCTGGGAAAGCAGGTGTCTGGCATTTCCCCACTTCTGTGGTGGTATATGGCTCTCCTTCTCATATGGTTTAAATGTGGGAACCCCCCAAAGATGGAAAAGGGTTCACCAGTTGGGCAGCTAAAAATAATCTGTGTCTCCTACACTTCCTAACTGGGTTAAACACAGTATCAGGCACTCTAAATTTCATCTTCTTTGACTTTTTGCCAGACCTGCTTTAACAGTCCTTAGTTCTGGGCAAGCATAATCATGGCTTAGTGTGGTCTCAGGTGCTTAAAAACTGCTGAGAAAGTATACACAATTAAGTCTTTGGTTCTGTGAATCCCATTAATAAAATGACTTTAAGTCCATCTGTAATTCACATTTACTATTTCTGTGCATGTGCTCCTAAAATTCTAATGTGGATGTCTGCCTAGGATCCGATTGTTTTTACAAAATTATTTATATTTGTCTACATCAATGTCAGGGCACCACATGTGTGCAGTACTCACAGAGGCCAGAAGAGGGCAACAAACTCCCTGGAACTGGAGTCACGGATAATTAAGAACTGCCATGTGGGTGCTGGGAATTGGATATGCACCCTCTGGAAAAGATACCAGTGCTCCTAACCACTGAGCCAGCCAGTCCCAGGATCCACATTTTAGTGCTCCCCATTTTCCTTTATAATTCATTTCATGTTTTCCCTCCAGTCCCATGAGTCTCAATCACTTCCTTTGGCAGGGAAAGCCAGGCCAACCAAAATGGACTTCCCCAACTTCTCTATAGAAATTCTAACTCAAAATTTCTTCCTGCCTTTCCCCATTTGCCCCCCCCCCCCACACACACACACTCCCTACTGCATTCTTCCTTCTTTCCAGGGAGACACTGGTGAAGGCTGCTAACAAAAATGCCCCCTAGTCCAACCTGAGACCACCCTGCCTAATGTGTATTTTCCTTTGTTCTAGCATCTCTCAAATTCCCTTTGATCCCCAAATAATCAAATCTTTCTTGAGCTAAAAGCCCTTCTCTCTACTGACTCCTTTCCTGTTGCTTCTGAACTCAGAATGCTTTCCAGCTCTTGTTTCTCGCCCCCCTCCCAAGCAATCCGTGGCTTGCCCTCTATGCATAGCTAGTCTCCAGTGTTACCCATAGTCCTCACTCCTGTAGCCCTCAGCTTCTCCTTAGCCTACTTTCTCCTGAACCTCACAGAAGCACGTGACCTTGATGCAGTTTCCTGTCCTCCTGTTGTGGCTTTTGGTATAAATCTCCCAAGTCTTCCTCCGTTCTTCAGACTTTCTCCTTCGTTAGTGTCCTGGTCTGACTTCCCATTGCAGCTCCACTCAGCTTATTAACTGTGACTAGCAAGGTGATTGCACTGAGCACTGTGGTCCAACCCTAACTCCTCAGCTTTAAAGTTCAGATCTTTACAAATGATGGCTTTCAAGGAGTTGTCTGGGCCCTTTTCCTTCCTCGTCTCTCCTTCCACCCGCTTTTTGTGAAAGTTAATTGGTGTTAAGTATACACAGTATACAATCTGCTGCTTTAACCATTTTTAAATATACATTTTTGGTGACCTTAAGTACATTCAACTTCTTTGGCGCCATCATTCATCCTCTTCATTCCCAAGAATCCAACCCAGGACTAACTCAGTACAGGCTAGGAGAGCACTCTACAATTGAGCTATATCCCTAGCCGCCATCACCAATCATTCCTTTTTGGTAATTTTTAAAATACACAGCTAAATGGAAAAGGACCATTTCTTCTCAGAGTGCTTGCTATTGGAGCTTGTGCATCAGACTGTCATCACATTGATGTCATCTGAGAAGTTAGTGTTCAGTGCCCGAGCTGCTGCCCTGAGGCTTCCCTTATATTGTAGGTACGACCATGACTACGTGACTTTTACGTGGGTGCTGGGAATATGAACTTAGGTCCTCACCCTTAAGCACTTTATCCACTGAGCCATCCCCTCAGGTCCCTGTCACATTTTTAAGGATGTCTCTATGAGATCACTTGCAACCCTTCACTTTTTTCAGATAAGGAGATTGAGGCTCAGAGTGACTTATTTGTCCAGGAAGGCACCCGAGGCTTCAAACTCTAAGCCGTCTACAATTGATATGTCATTGGAAGGGTAGCCTATCTGTTGATGACCCCTGCCCTTGAGGGTCCTGCCATTTGAAACACTTGGACAAGACATGGTTTATCTGTTGGAAATATCCCAACGTGGAGCCCAAGCATCTGGAGCCAGCTAGAAGGCGCTGGGGATACTGGGTGGCCACATTGGGCATGTAAGGACACGTGCTGGGGCCCGCAATCTGCCAAAGGCCCCTTCTGCTGGCTTCTCTGCTCAGAGGAGAGGCGCCGCCTGGTCTTGTCTGGACCCCAAGCAGCGCACTGCGCTTGGCCACCGAGGCGCACCAGCTGTGCGCCCCCCAACCCCCCAGCTAGCTTATCACGGGCGCTCCAGGTGCCCCACTCGCAAGCGACAGCGGCGGCCACGAGTCCCCCACACCCCAGGGGCGGAGCGAGGCGCAGAGACGTCAGGGCGGGGACCTAGCGCGGCCGAGCGCGCTCTCCTGGAGGCTGCCGGCGGCCCACGTCCCCGGCTGGCGCGGCCGGTGGTGGCGGTGGCGGTGGCGGTGGCGGTAGAGACCGGGGATATTGCAGTTCGCAGCGGCGCTGGGGCTCCGGGGCGGCCGCGCCAGCAGAGACTACGGTTGAGCCTGAGCCGTGAGCCAACCTTGCGCACAGCTTTGCCCGCCCCCCAGGAGCAGACCCCACACTCCCCTCAGCTGTTCCCGGGGTCGTTGAGCCCCCCACGAGTGCCCTTCCATCTCCTTGAGTGACTACAGCGTGTTTTGTTTTTCTTTTCTTCTTCCCCTGCCCGTGTGCCCTTCTCCAGGATGGCAGAGGCGGAATTGCACAAGGAGAGGCTGCAAGCCATAGCAGTAAGTCCACTTTTCATTTCATTTTCTTGCTCTATTGTCTGGGGTGGATGGGGACCAGTGGGCTTGGGGCCAGTAACATGCCAGCCTGGTAGCCGCAGGCCCTGTGCTGGGGTGAAAGTCTGTCCAGGTTTGGCGACTCTGCCTTTTGCCTTTATATGTCTGTAGACTAAACCCCTGGGGCTTACTTGGGACTAGGAAGATTTGAACATGGAAAATTGGCTTAGAAATAAGATGCTTGGTAGGGCGCTTCAGGGATAGACTAAACAGAGGCGGGGGAGTGCATGTGTGTGTTGCAGGGGACGCCTGAAATATTGTCACCCAGTGCCCAGAAGTACATTGGCTTCCAACTCCAGAGAAGGGAGAGAATGGTGACCCTCCCTATGGCTATCTTCCTCTGTCTTGCTGGCTATCCAGCCAGCCAACTGCGTGGTACAGCCTCCCCCAGAAAGCAGGAGTGAGGTTTTTCCTTCCCGGATTTGGCATTAGCAGGGGCTCTGGCACAGGGCACCACCCTAGAGAGAGCAGGGGCTTCTTTCAGCTGCGTCTTGGAAGTGACATTTCAGGAGAGTCTCTTTCTCCTGGGTGTGGATTATCTGAAAACTATTGGTTCAGCGTTCAAAGGAGCATCCGGTTTGGGCAAAGTTCTGCCCTTTGAGAGCACCATACCATGTGTATCTCGGGTTCAGACAAGAGCTGTCTGACACTGTCTAGATTGGAGAGGCCTTGCCAGTTCTGCCAGTGTTCCACAGATGTGGTTTTCACTGGAGCCACCACAGCTGGATTGTGTATTTCCTTTGCAGATGAGGGGATGGTTCCTGGCGCTATATGAAATAATAGCAAATTAAAGTAGATCTGCTAGAATGCTGGCATAAAAGACTCTCCAGACATTCTCCTACCTAAGTACTTTCCCCCCTGTGCTCCAGGAGTTCCCTGGAAACACATAAATTGGTTGGAGAAATACTGTGTAATGTTTTGGAAGCGACATGTGTATGAAAGTGTTTTCAGACGCCTTTGGATGGAGTCTTCATTGGGAAAATGCATGCAGGCCTGATGTAGGCTCAGTAGCTCAGAGACCCTCCCCCCCCCAAACTATTCTGATCTGAAGGGTTCCGCCCAGAAGGAGAAAGCTGTGCATGGGCGGGGAAACACCACACTTGACCTCTGAGGCTGTCTTTGAAGTTGGTCCTTGGACTTAGGAAGGCTATTCTCTTCTTCCCCTTCCTCGCAGTGCATGTACATTTTGGTGGCTGATGAAGTTGCTCACGGATCTAAAGCCAGGGTCAAGGCGTTGTGGCAGTCTGCCTCGATTTGCTACAAATGGTACCATGGAGCTGGTGGGTGTTTTGTGTAACCCGATAAAGGGCTGCCTCAACTGTTGACAAGTATCTGCTTCAGAAAACACTCAGCCGCTCCATGGGCTGCTGCTGGCTGTTTGCAACAGTTGTCACATTTTCTTGCCTCTGTATGACTAGTGTCCCTGGATGCCTGGGGGACAGCTGACTCCATGAAAGGACTTGCTTTCTGAGCACAGTGCCAGTGGCAGCTAACATAACACCAGGGCCGCCCCCCTTCCAAGTAGGCTGGAGCAATTTCAGCCATGGCAGAGGTGATTTTCAATAAAGGTCTAGGGGTCCCCTCAGGGTTCTCTTGAGCAGAGAGAAAGATAAACACCCACTGGCTTCTGTTCAGTTGTGGAACAGTTCATCCTATGGACCTAGGAACTGTTGAGTTTTGCGAATGGGGGGAGGGGTGTTCAACATCAGCAAAAATCTGTGTTGGGGAATTTTTTCCTAAGTGTTATCATTATGTTTGGGGGGGGAGAGAGACAGAGAGAGAGAGAGACAGAGAGAGAGAGAGAGACAGACAGACAGACAGACAGAAGAGAACACAGAGGGTGGTGGACTCTGGCCACAGTAGATAATTTTATGCCACATTTTGACTTAGTCCACACTTTGCAGATTCAGCAAACCTTGCCCATCTCAGCCACTTTCCCAGAATTCTCAGGGGGCTCCAAGACACTTACAGGCCTTCCCCAGAACCTGTCCAGCCTGAAGTCCCTCTGGAGATAAAAGGGACGAGAACGATTTTTCACATCTTCACCTACTTGGATTCCTGAGCCTCGTTTTTTGTTTTTTGTTTTTGTTTTTGTTTTTTCTCTATAAATTGGACCCAGAACTTTTTCTCGTGGGCGACCTTTGAAGACTAGGGCAGTGAGGCACTTTTGGCCCATAGTTGCCATGGAATGATGCTCTGGTGGAACCCTCGTCTGTTTTCTACACTGCTGGGCGGGCAGGGGGCAGCTCTGATTTCCTTTTCAATTCTGAGGGGGGTCAGGTTCTAGCCAGGATCACTTCCTCCACAACATGGATTGAGACCTGAGGACCATTCATTGGCTTATTCCCCAGGTTTCTGTGGAGTGTCTCCTAGGTACCCCCAATGCTGACAACCACCATTAGGAAGGTCTTGCCCTGGCATGATTGATTTAAAAGGGGGTGTGTGTGTCTCACTATGTAGCTCTGGCTGTCCCAGAATGCACTATGTAGACCAGATGACCTTGAATTCACAAACATCCACCTGTAAGAGCTTCCTGAGTGCTGGGATTAAAGATGTGTGCCTCCATTTCCAGCCTCAAGCTTAATATTTGAAAGGTCAGATGTCTGGTGACTCAGGATATCTATTTCATGATTGTCAGTGGGAATCACCCAGTATGAGTTATTAAATGGCTATAGTGCCTCAACTGAATCTGCTAAGTCAATGAGAAGTCTCTCGAATCCTTTCAAAAAAGCAACAACTCCATCTTTGGCAAGTGCATTTCCTCCTTCTTGGGCCTTTCCTTCTAGAGAAACTCCCATAACTATGCCTTTAGAACCAACAAAATGTTTCTGGCAACAGAGTGAGGAGAAATAATACAGCAACTACAACTTTATTAAATGTTGTACATTCAGCAAGGCCTTGGATTAAATGCTGGCTTCGATTAAGCATAGTCAAGGATGCTCATAGTCAAGGATGAATTGAACAATATGAACAATTACTATGAATTACAAATAGGACAGTACCCACAACCTCGAGTGTAGAAGATGGAAACCAGCCTCAAGGTATGTGAAGCACCCTGCATTCCCAGACCCTAAGAGCAGTCACTTGAACAAGGCTTGGAGGTTGGATAGAATAACATAGAAACTAACACTATAACCTTCTCAATAGTCACAGGCTCTCACTTATTTTTGTTTGCTATTATTTCTTTGGAACAATTAGTGTGGAGAAGAGAAAGGCAAAAGCAAGAAGTTAAGTCAGTAGCTGGCAGTAAGAATGTGTACACGTGGTGTGTGTGTGTGTGTGTGTGTGTGTTATCTGTGTGCACATATGGTCTGTGTGTGTGTGTGTGTGTGTGTGTGTGCATGCACACACATTCAGTAGTCTTTGCCATTGTGTGTAGAGGTCAGAGGTAGATGCTGGGTGTCTTCCTATTGTCTTCTATTTGTCTTTCTGAGACAGAGTTTCTCATTGACTCTTGAACTCTCCAGTTTTGCTACTCTAGCCGGCCAGCCCCCATGATCTGCCTGTCTCTGGCCCCCAGCACTGAAGAATAGAGCTGTGCCTCCATGCTTGGACTTTTACATGGATGCTGGGAATCTGAACTCAGGGCACCATGCACAGCCAGTACCTTACCCACTGACTGAGCCATCATCCCAGCTGCCATAAAATGCTTTTATAAATTTATTTATTTTTATTTATGTGTATGTGTGTGAGTTTATATGCAACGTGTAACTGCAGGTGTTTGAGGCATCCAGAGGTAGTCGGGTCTCTTGGAACTGGAGATAGAAGTGATTGAGTCCTGCCTCGTGTGGTTGCTGTGGACTGAACCTGGGTTCTCTGCAACAGCAGAAAGGACTCTTAACTGACAAACCCTCTCTCCAGATCCTCAGGAAATTCTGTTAACAGACATTATCCCTCTTAACTCTAGCAAGAAGCTTATAAAGTAGACCTTGTTCTCTTATACCATTTTAGAGATGGCCACGTTAGAAATCTGTTAGAACATTAAATGGACAGTGCCAAAACCAGGGTTTCAACCCACAGGCCAGGAACTGCAATGGAAGAAGACTGCAGTACCTCATCTTTCCTCATGGGGACACTGTGCAGGTGGTCCACAGCCTCAATGTGAGCCCCTGAAAGGGCACCAGAATGCATAGCATTAGAAAAATCTGAGTAAACCAGGAGACCTATATTCTTAGGAGACTCTTCCAGGCCCAGGTCAAGCATGGAAAATCCAAATATAAACTCTAACCCAGTGAGTAACATTCTCTTGGGGAAGAATATGTTTGGTCTCATTGGAAACTGACTTTGGGGGAGGGTGTTGTTATGTTTCCATATCCAAGGGGGAGATAGCTTTCCCTGGGCATGAGTCAAAATGAGTAAATGTTATAGAGGTTATCTTGGGTAAAAGCCCCAAGAGTCCCATGGAAAAGGCCCTCAACATGACTATATCATTGTGTGCTGAAAAATGAAATGTTAATCTAACCTACACTTTTTGTAGAGGTTTGTCATGTGTTAGGAACACATTCTGTGGGATGGTAAGAATATCCTTTGCGTGTGCACAGAACCTCACAGCTCACACAAATGGTCTTCATGCTGCATTCACTCTGTCATGTGGAGTGTCACCATCCCCACTGCACAGCTGAGCACCCAGGCCCACTGTGAGATGAGAACAGTCTGGGGAAGCTTTGATCTCTCCTGATGCATATCCAGCCTGGGTGGTGAGCTTGGAGGTACATGGGCTTGGATATGCCTTTATCCAATCAGGACCCTCTGAGATCTTAAGTGCTCTCTCTCTCTCTCTCTCTCTCTCTCTCTCTCTCTCTCTCCTCTCATTCCATCCATCCATCCCTCTCTCTTGGTCCCTCTTTTCTTTGAATCTCTGTCTTATCTGATTCCCTTCCTTTCCTCCCTCCCTCCCTTCCCCCCTCCCTCCCTCCCCTCTCCCTAACTTTCCATGCACTCTGTTT